TCATTTAGTGAAAAAGCTTTGCGTTTTTGTTTTTCCATTCTGAAACGATTTACATACATAACGCGGCACAAAACAACAAGTCACTGGCTGTGACCAGTAAAAAAATACGTTGGTGTTTATGGAAAGTTCACTATAACCGGGTTCTTTATAAGCGGACTTTACTGTATTTGCAGGCGTTTTATAATTTTTAACTGGCCGACATGGTCAAAATGTCTAAAATTGTCGGTTGGCACGAGAAGAGAAATCCAAATTTTTTGCGCAAAAAAGTGCTACACGGTTTTACAAAGAGAACAAAAACGCCAAAAGATGATTAGTGCATCAACTCAAAAAACTCTGGTAGTTTTTGTACCAAAATACTCAAGAATTCCTCACTTGCCCAAAGCGGATGAACTCGGTTGCTTCATCAGTTTCACGAAAATTCATCATATCATTGACCTGATTTTTCAAAAAAGTTAATTTTTCTGAAGAACTTTATCATCAGTAACAATCGCCGTTTGAGCCAAAGATTGTCGCATTCGAAGACACCCTGATTGCCATGAACATTGACAATAATTTTTGTTATTATACCTAGTTTAAATCGATTCTGTTTAACAGTCAAAATCTCCAACAAAGATCAAGAGCAGAAAATGTAGTGGATATCAATCAAAATCACTATGCCCGACAAAGAATGGCGCATTTTTTTCCGTTGAACCGCTCGGACAAGTGCAAGTTTTCAGTTAAAAATACAAACTGGTGTATACCAACAAGACAGGTGCTGCATTTTGAGCCACCTGCTGCATCGAAGAAGTGCACTCTCGACCAGAAACCGAGGCCTTTAACGTCTTGGGGAATAATAACGGCCGCAGTGCATGGATAAAGATTGCATTGGACCGATTGGTATAGTGAATGCGATTTATTCAGGAAAACATTTGGTATTTTCATACCAATTTCCAATTCTCCTAGGACTTTGTCGGGCGTCTTCATACTGGTTTCACCGGAATAATTAATTATTCCCAAAAATAATTTTATACTTACACCACTCGCATATACATCCTGGAAAAACTGGCCGATTGATTGGACCCAGACCCGCCTTCGTCTAACACCTTTTTGAATAATTACACTAACATGTTCATCCTGTTTTAGCGAAAATCGCCAAACTGCACTGGAGATTTCGCGGATAAATCGCCATGGAATAATAGAAGCGCTTCCGACATTACAATTTCACTTTTCTGTTAATTCTCTGTTAAAATAAACCACGGCCGATTTTATAGGATTCAGCCATCAGTAGGTTTAGTTCAATGTGGATGCAGCTTCACACCAGACACGTTGAAAAGTTGCGGGTTTTTTGTGAATGTGCGCTAGCTGGAAAATGCATCTGTATTTTGCCAAATGTAGGTATACAAGTGTGCTGGTTACCGTATTTTTCGTTGCATAAACATTTTTTTCCTTTTGCGCACAAGTGCTTTCAGTAAACCTACCGTTCTCTTTGCTAAAACATTGTAACTTTCGCAGGCTTTGAACGTTCTTAAAAGACATTTTCTATCGATCATTGAAAATTAGGCCTCAATTTTGCTGAAACTTGTTTAAAAATAAAATCCCCCCGACTTCAAATTCTGGTCTGGATATTCTAAATTAAAAAGAAAACAGCAACTTATGGAACATTATTACTTCAATTTTAATCCAGTCCATTTGATGGTCTAGCAGTAAAACACTTAGCGTGAGTCATGAATTAGGCGATTCAATCAGTTTTATCTGTGCAAAATTCCATTATTCCCCAAAAAAGGCGGGTCCATTGATGCCGATCCCCCCCAAAAGATGACCCTTTCCCCATCGGCGCGATCCATCTGATTGGTCTTGCCCGGTCACGCCTCTTACGGGACGTCGCCGTACTCGTGAGGCTGCGTCCGCCCATTGGTTCCCCCTAACCTATGGGGGTCGTCCCCCATCTAATGCATCGCAAATCGGTTTACCGTTTATTCCAATCATGTTTTCTGCTTGCTTTGTGCGAGATCATTCGATCGTTGAAGCTGGACGAATTTTTCCGGCGAAATATTTCGCTTTCAACGGGGTTTTATGTAAACTATTAACGAAAAATTGCCAATTTTACTAATCAATGAATATTGTCGGCACAGGCAGTTTTCCGCAACAGGAGTTTTCTCAGATTTTCGCTGTTAATAGTCGAAAGTTCGGAGATTCAACTCGATGATTTGGTGCACTTTTTGGTCTGCACTTTCATTGCGTGCGTTTCCTTAATACCTACTCGTTTCGTTTTTGGGAGTTTATCCGAACTCTCTCTGAACTTTGAGGGATTTTTTTGGAGGATTTTTCTTTGCTGTCGGTCATTCATGTTTGTTTTATCTATTTTTTGTTTGTATTTACTACTTATTCCGATAATTCGAGAACTGAATAAAACTTTTTCATTGGCTAAATTTCGAGCGGCGTTGTCAAACTGTGCAAAGCGTTTTAAGATAATGAAAATTGTTTCCTTGGATACCTAGGCATGCAGATTCATTCAATTTGGGTCGGTTTAGAATGTTTACGTCAGGTTATTGATTTTGCATTTTCTATATTTTTTTAGTTTCACTAAAAAATCACGTCAATCATGCTAACAAAAGCAAGCTAACTCAAAATGAACCGAAAGGAAAACAACGAAAGAATCCGTGAAAACAGCGCATGTTGTTGAGTTCTTGAAAGATGTAAATTTACTAAATCTAAACCTAAAACCGTTGCACATCATCAACCGGCAAACTGACCCTGTTGACAAGTTGTCATGAAAATCTTTTGTGAGAGTGAAACATTCAGCATTTATTCTGACAAACTAACCAAACCAAACACTATTCGATTGTATGTATATCAGGTTGACGTTAGATTTATCGATTAGTTTTTGAGTCTTTTAAAGTCTTCAAAAGTGATCTAAACCGGTTTTTTGAAAAACAAACATTGTGTCTGAGATAAAAAATGCCAAAGCAACTGAATAGCCGTTGCAAGGAGCTTGTAGTTTCACTGATCCGCTATTTTGAGGAGGAACGCGAAAATAATGGGCCCTTATCAAAAACAAAATATTTTCGTTGTCATGAAACTTGGCAACAGGATCAGTTTGACGGTTGATGACGTGCAACGGGTTTAGTTTTAGATTAAGTTATAATCTGCTATAGAAAAAACAATAAGAGATAAAAAATTGATAAATAACTTGTAGTAATTAAAAAAATTATGTTGCTAAAGGTTTAAGTGCACACAAAAAAGGTCTGAACAAGACAAAAGTAGGAGTTCCACATGTCTACCCTGTATAAAAGTAAACTAAACTACAAAACACTACCATAGAATGGCTTTCAATTATCTTATAATGTGTACCAAAATCTAAGTTCCCAATGTTTAACCGTTTTAAACAAAAACTAATATTTTTCGCCATTTTGGAGATAAATATCTCAAAAATGAGACTTCAAATTAAAAAAGTTCTCAGGAAGACCCCCCTCTAAAATGACTAGGAGAACACGCTGCTAAAATATTTTAACATATTTACGGAACACCTTGTATAAATAACAATTATAAAGAAAATCAAACACAATTTTAGTGTATTCACTGGGGTACCATGATTTGTACGATAATGTTTATTGATATTTCCGTGTGTTGAAAAGCTTTTTTGACAAATACTGCAAATGCATTGCATTGGAAATAGACATAACTAATGATATAAAATGATATAAAAGTTATTATTTGTACGTTATTACGACAGAACACTGATACTACTTCGACACATTCAAGTCAAAACGTGGTCAGACATAAACCAAACAACTTCACTTCAACTTCACTTTTAACAGTTCTAACCTCACCTTTTTAAGATTTGACACTTGACACAATACCTGACATAACATTAGATACTAGCAACGTTGTATTCCAAGGGGGCTACAATTAGCCGCTTCTGATACGCTAGATAACCTCAATCAATGTGCCACGTTGGAAAAGATACTCAAGCTTTGCGAAAAACACAATTATTATGCATCTTAGCGACAATTTTGCATGGGGACTTATGAATTGTTGATACCTAAAAAAGGGTTTAGTAGCAAATACCATCGGACAACGTCATTTTCGGGCATGAATAAGTGGTTTTGGCGCAAATTTCAAAAGTTTGTAAGTGTTTTTTGGCAAAATTTATGGCGGATTTTTTCCTAAAGTGAAAAATTTTGGAATTTGTCACATTTCTCCATTTTGTAGGCGTTAAACAAGAGCGAAATTTTTGTAATTGCTTTTCAAAATATGCTTGAAACCCACTTTGGAGTAGATCTTTTTGATGAGTTAAATAGCCCCTTTTACATGTGATTGAATTGGTTTTTTTCAGGTTCTGGACGATTTAGTGAGACCCCCTATACCGACGCCTATGGCAGCCCCTACCAGGACGGTTCGCCATACCAAACGGTGCCTAGTGGCGGCTCCAGCGGCTCTGAGCAGTGGGGGCTCACCCCTAGTCACGATTTGTCAATGGGCGGCCACGCCCCCCCTTCCCATCATACCGACAGCAAACCCACCATGTTACAAAACGGGATGCTGGCGGGATACTCTAGTAATCCATCTGGAACGGGTGGTCACTGTTTTACCGGTGAGCGGTTGTCTTTTGCGCCTTGTTGTGGGAAAGTCTTGATGTTTTTCTTATAGGTACGGGCAGATACAACGATGGATACAATGATATTGGATCCCCATATGGATATGATTCGCCGTTCCAAACAGTGCCCAGTGGGGGCAATAATGGGACGGCGGCCGACCAATGGGCGCACAACCATGATCTGTCGCTGGGACATCATCCGCACACCCATCCAGCATTTTTGGGCTCTGGAATGGTCCGAGATCGTCATGATGGACTACCGCAAGACACCAAGCCAATGATCCAAAACGGAATGATTGCCGGATATCCCAGCAATCCCACGGGAGGACCATGTTTTACTGGTAAGCAAAACTAATATTTTTTGCTCACTTTTGGCGTGTTGATATTGGTCGTCTTTATCGAAACTGTGTGTGTCCAAACAGGTTCCGGGCCCATTCAACTATGGCAATTCTTGTTGGAACTTTTAACGGACAAGTCGTGCCAAAGCTTCATTTCGTGGACTGGAGATGGATGGGAGTTTAAATTAACCGACCCTGATGAAGTATGTGATGAAAGTTTCCAGCTGCCTCGATTGTGGAGACTAATTGGGTGTTTAATGTCGTTTGCAGGTTGCTCGAAGATGGGGCATCCGCAAGAACAAGCCCAAAATGAACTACGAAAAACTGTCGAGAGGGTTGCGTTATTATTACGATAAGAACATTATCCACAAGACTGCTGGCAAGCGATATGTGTATCGATTCGTATGCGATTTGCAGACCTTATTAGGGTATGTATTGAACTCTGAAATATGCGATCCATGTGACGATTCCTATACTGAAACAATGGATTACGAATTTTAGCTTGTAGGTAAATTTTAAATCTAAGAATGGCCTTGCATGCAGTCAGGAAAATCAATCAAAGTAATAGATAACTTAGAAAAACACTAGCCATAGGAAAATTTAGCTCGGAAATAAAAAATGCTTTCTGCCGACATACGCTACCCAAATAGATACTGAGACTCTAAGAGAGAACTGTACAGACAGACTATACTCAACTCAACAGGAACATAAAAACTCAAATATTGGACAATAGCGACAAGACAAATGGTTAGAAACATGTAAGGAAATAGAAAAAGACAAGGCCAAAACATATTGGCAAAAAATCAAGAAATTAGCACAATTGACGAAAACTGAATAGAACGTTACACAGACAAAGAGAGGGCTGACGCGTTCGCCAGACACTATCAAAAGGACTCCCGTATATCTACAATGACAACTGGTACTTGAACTACTTTAACAACTCACCAAACTATACTTACTATACAAACTAATCACAGACACAGAGTACGATGAAGCCCTAACATATCAAAAACACAGCACCGGGAAAAGACAAAATAAAGCCAAAACATCTGAAAATCCCAAGAAACCCACAAACTCATCCTTACTGAAATCAACAACTGCATCAGAAATGACAATTCCTATACCTAAAAATGAACGAGACAGTGTCTCGTCCATTAATGTATATAATAATCCATTTGGGCACTGTCTCGTCCATTAATGTAATAACATTACTCCCGTTGCTGAGGAGAGTTTTGGAACACATACTTAAACAAAGACTCAGAACAAGACCAACCTTCCAATTTGGCTTCAAACAATATCACTCGACTATTCATCCGCTATTTGTTTGACCAACAACATACAAACAATCAGACTATGAAGGCTTTCACGGTCTATCGGAATTTATTCCTGACGTTTCGTCCACAACTGTGGTGTCAAACTCCAGTTTGCATCTTAGGGGGTTTTTTGACGCTGTTATATTTAGAGACTTGGCTGTCAGATTGAATAAGTGTAATGAAATTAATCTCACTTTCTGCAATGAGGGCGGCGTCGTCAGCGTAACACACTATTTTGATTTCTGCATCCCCCATTTTGTCTCCCTTTAGCCCTCGAACTCCTCGAACAATTTCTTCCATTATTAGACTGAAAAGGGTAGGAATACCGCTACCCGCTATTATTGCTTCTGTGATATCTTCTACCATTGGTGATCGTATTTTATTATTTGTATATATGTTATGTATGGTTTTAATGACATTGTGTGGGATTTCCCAAAACAGACAACTACAAGAACGAATTGTTAACAGACTCCTTTTTTTCTCCCCTGACCGTTTCTCTACAGTATTTTACTACAACACCTACAAACGCAATAAACTAATAACTACAACGGTTAAGATGGGTTTGTTTTGTAAGCCAAAATTTTTTTTATTGCTGATTAGTTTATACGAGTGTTAAGGCCGTTTTACAGTCGGAAGAAAGTAAAATTGCCGATTGTAAAGCGCCCTTCAGGAATAGGAATTTATTTTAGAATAAGCTAGGCTAAGATACATATGTAATAGGCAAGGGCAGAAAGACCGATTGGGTCGATAGCCTTTTCTGTAGGAAATAAAGATTATTTACATATATATATTCAGCGTGATTCAAAATTGGCGTCATTCCTTTTAAGGGTATATAGGGGCTCAGTTAGAGAGTACTAGAAAAATGTTCAAAAAAATTTAAGAAGATATTAACAGATGAAGATCGAATTTCAACTTTGTTTAAGCATTATTTTGAAAAGGTCCCACGTTTGATTGGCAGTCTATTGGAATACCTAAGCATTCGAAAAGAAAAATTACGATATTTTTGTCAAATTACGAACATTTTTGATATTAAAAAAGTTATCTTCTACAATTTTTTGATGAAAAGTCAAAGCGGCAATGATGTTTTTAGTCATTAACAGAGTTACTGGTCCTTTCACAAAATGTAAACCAACAGCGAATTTGCTATTAGTTATGAGAAAATGCCACAGTAACATAGCAGAAGCGAACTTACATCGGCAAAGAGCTACACACTAGACGCAGATAGATAGTGGAGAATCCTCCAGACCTAGAGGAACAAGGTATTGGAGATTATTGCAGCTGAGCCTTCCAGGAGTACTTGAAGCATTGCACAACAACTGCACTTTCTCAAACACTGTATACCTAATTGTCGCGATAACTCCCCCGAGGAAGGGCCTACATTCCTACCATGTATGTAATATGCACCGGACACTAGAACACATTAAATATCTGATCTTCCGAACACCGGTTCAAATTGAGCAGCAGTTGATTAACCCAACACGAGAAGCTGCATACATTGCTCGACATTATCTCTCAGCATGGAGACCACAAATTTTACTTTAATATTTTAAATTCGAGAAAATTTTAACGTGACCAAAAAAATTACCGTGACATGTGTTTTGGATTGTTTTTGTGCTGACGTGGAGTTGTGTCTTACTTAATTCATTATCTGTAACCCTGAGGAAGGCAGCAGAGCACTGCCGAAACGTTGGAAAATAAAGAATTTTAACATTTTGGAGATTGGTGTACATCTAACTTAAACCCAAATTTGCTAATTAGGACGACATCCTCAACAAGATAAATACACATCTTCCAAGAAACTTATAAATAAAATAAATATAAGTAAAAAAAATGATCTTTGCTTTGGTTTTTTTTCATCTACTAATTGCAATAATGGAAGCCTTTCCGTCTATTAAAAAGTGGATTAGATTGTTTCTTCGGGTGTTTTCGAAGCATAAACTAAAGTTTATTAATTTTTGGTTTCGATTTTTCAATTTATTTTCATAGTGACGTTGAAATCCATTTCCTGCGGTTTAATTTCTTTCCTAACATGGCGTTTTCAAAAGAATTCGAGTGATTTTCGAATATTTTCCAATTCCTTGTGCCATTTTCGAAATGTCCACTATGGACATACTGAAATTACGAAGAAGCGAAGTTTTCCATAAATTCTTAAAAATCGATGGATGGATTTCGAAAGAAGAGCATACAAAAGACCCAGAACAGAACATACGAAATTCTAGATAAGTTCTATATTGTTGAGGCGGATTCATTTTTTTACAAACTTCTTTTTGGGTATATCGCCTCAGAAATTTTTGTCTTTAAAAAAAGACAGAATTTCCTCACGTCTTTTATTACAGATTGATAAACAGTGCTCCTATTTCGCAATAAGAACGAATTATTTATCAAAAAGTAATCAAGAACTATCACCTAGAGGGTACCCTGCGACACACTTAGGCTCAAGCTGTAAGATAAAATTCCAATTAGTAGAGAAATTAATTTGAAAAATTACCTTGACGTTTCGATAGCTATTTTCTGCTATCGTTATCAAAAGAACCTAAATGAACC